TCTCCGGCGGCTTATACAGACACAAGGCTCACTCTCATACTCCACCCAATCCCCCATTGAGTGGGTGCAAAAACCCGAAAATTCGCTTATCCAACTTAACTTGAGGCCTCTTATGTTCTGATATAGACACACGATGCACTAAAGACTTATATACACCTCTTCCAACCCGTTCTGTATACAATCAAGATTCTGTAAACTAAAACATAGGACCGGAATCACACAGCTAGTTAGCCTTCTACCTTGGTTCCTATGCACATGTATATATACAAGCTCATGAGGGACGTACTTACGGCAATACACAAGGGCATCCTCTGTTGCCCTGCTACTGCCCGGACCCCATCCCAATCTACAATCCTGTCCTCTGGATTGTGGGAGCTTGCATAGGCATCATCGATATCGACCAAGCTCCTTAGTCCTTGGCCATGGGGTACGAATCTTTGGCTCATATACAGACCATACAACAACTCGCYCGTGTGTCTTRCATATCCCCCTTCTCAMACCTTCACTGCGGCCTCARTTGCGGCCTTTACCCCAATCTTCCCTTGAGAACCTTCCATCTCGAGCTCCCTCGACCCCGTCACCTGTTGAATTACAACAAGCGGCGTTAGGGTCGAGGCTCGAAGGGAGTTACGCAACTAAATCTAATGCATAATATATCCCTACTAAATTATCTCGTTCTATTCATGAAAACACGTATAAAAATTTTTATTCATTGACATTCAGAACAACGGCGTTACCGAAGAGAGTCTTTAAATAAATACCCACATAGGATAACGCACAAACACTTACAATAAGTCTCTCAGATCACATCTCAGGCATTAACCACTTATGGTTCCCATTGTCAAGGAATGACACAATATGCTTATACCATATAGGTGGATACTCCAAACATGAATCCAAATTGCCATACAACCCATGATAAGTAACATATGCTCACGACAATAATCATAACATAATAAGCACAACTTATTGACAAGGGTTGTAACTGAAGTACATGACAAACGTTATACATAACACATGAAGCCAACTCAACCGCCAGTCACATAATAAGATAAACCTCAGCAACGTAGGTCATATTCTATAAGGCAGAAATAAGACTAGCAATGAGTAAATAACATGATACAGTTGTTACCCTTCAACTCTCAAGCGAAGCATATATTATAGAGGGGCGGTGTAATCCTCATAAGATAATATCTCGACTCTTGAGCCCCGCTCTAAAGATCAAGCCTCACCGCATCCCTCTTCGACTCCAGCACTTGTACCTTACTGCCACTATCATGGTCAAGTGGACAACCCCATCCATACTTAGTATCAAGGCAACGAGGAGCGAACTCGCACCTTTACAAATATGGTGGCCCTGCTTAGCGGGAGACGGGCCTTGGTCGCTACCCCAGATCCGCTCTCGCTACGCAGTAGCTATTTCACCTGGCCATCATAGCCTCAGCGAGGTAGCAAGTCCTTTCCTTTTTTCTCAGCAGATAATGTAGTTACTCTCCCATCACATGAGAGACAACAACAACCCACTAATGGACCAGGAACATAGTTCCGGTGTGGGTCTTATTATCAGTTTCGAGACTAATAACCGCTTCCTTAAGCCTTATCGAGAGAGTAACAACTCGAGAATGCACTTCCACCGAGGACTAATTATACACGCCGACTAACTCCTTCTTGGAAGAACCACCTTCCACAGAAGCAAGCCACACCATTCACCCCTGGCCTCATACCAGACGTGGGTTTCATGCAAAACTTGTGTCCTCGTGGAAGGCAGTCCATACATACACCATCAATCTGACATCAAGCAAAACACAATGATAGCACATATATAGGGACAACCAACCAAACAATCATAAATGTCATATATACATATATCACATACAATTAACACGTAGACCCCTCGTCGGACTAGCCAAACCGCTATCCTAGCGGCCACTACTTCCCGAGATTTATCGATAGTTAGCCAAACAGTCCGCAAGCGACTCAAATCATCACCAGCTCACACTATCGCAGGGTCTAAGCATCGTACTGGCCGTAGTACCTATCGTATCACATCTCAGTCTGGGCTCAAGGAAATATTTTTACCGTTAAACTCCTCATTTCGCACTTTATCAGTCATCCTCTTGCCCATGCTGCTCTCGTATCAGCAACTTTCTCTAACACAGGGGTCATATGACTAGGACAGACGCTTCATCTCAACTTGACTATCCCCCAAGGCAGGCTTAACACACCAATCCCGTAACGAGTCAATTAGCCTTGGATTCCAATCCTAGGCATATTTAGCAATGTCAGCGCCACCTTACTCATTCCTAGCCGAATCGAGCCTTCAAAGCATTACCCAAACTCATCAATCATTAAAATCAAAGGGCCTTTCAACTCCATTTATTCACATACCAAACAGTGCTCATAGCGCCTAGTCACGGCGCTTATCGATCTCAAGCAACCCTTACTGCATCACTCAAACCCTACTCACGGAATTAACCCTCACTTCATGCTTTACCCGATACCATATACGGTCAACCATTCCTCCTAACCCAGTCGATAGGGCAGAAGCGATCATTCTCCGCGGATTATCAACCGCCTCGAATCAAGGCTCGATTCCTAGGGACCTCTCAGTCTTTACGGTGCTTCCAACGATAGTCAAAATATTAGCCAATCGCTCATACACGCCTATTAAAACTTCTCGTTTGCCTATTTATCACTTCCATACCCGGATGTCGTTCCACTAGAAACAACGGTAGGCAGCCGTTATCCCCGGCAACGGCGCCACCTGTCGGGCGCATCGGTCCAGCTCCGCACGTGGCAGCGCGGGACCCTCAACCCCTCCGCTCCTCTCTACTCCCTTGCTCCAGCGTCGTCGCCCGCCGGCCTTGATTCTTGCATTTTCGTTCGTCGCCGCTGACCTCGATCCTTGCACTTCCGTCTCCCGAATCCAATGCCGTAACCAATAGGGCTAAGCCCAAGCTTGAGACCCACATCCACAGAGTGTCATATCAGGCGGTGCTGCGCCGCGCTCAGGGCCAGAGAAATTGGCCTGAGCCTCACCTCTGCCTACAACCGTGCGCGCGGCCGCCCAGCGTCTGCCCCGACTTACCAAGCTGTACCACGGCCGCCCCTCGTGCTACTCCGCGTGCCAAGACCTACCGCAGTCATACTGTCGCCTTCGTCGCCGCCGTCGAGGTCGTCCT